ACACACCATACTTATATCAGTGAATATATTGTGAATTGTGCGATTATAAACAGGAAATTTGAACTATTATTAATAGAACATGTGAATAAGTCATGAATTATAAAAATTTTAATTTACCGATAAAAAAAGAATTTATTATGAACATTAACACGAAAGTATTAAAATATAAAAAAAAGAATCAAAAAGTTTGCAAAAGTTTGCTAAAAATTTGTTTACTTAATTACAAATTTATTTAAAATTAATATATAGTGAAAGGAATAAATCTGTTTTATTATATGTATCATATATTATATGTATCATAATTAGTATGCACGAAAATAATATCAAATTATACATTTTTGAGAGAATAAATAGAATGGAAATGGAATAATAAGAATAGGAAATAATTAATAAATTTTTTTGTTTAATTAAAAACTAAGAAAATTTAATTTTAAAAAATCAATATTCCAACGTTGATATGAAAAACATCGCGATTTTATAAAATATAACATTATCTTTTCACATAATGTGATTCGTTTAACTACTTGATATATAAAAGTATTAAGTTAAAGTTATTAGAATATCAGTAATTTGTTAAGTATTTTATATTTTATGTCAAAATATACTAGAATAAAATATCATATAAATTGTTGATTTTTTATAATTACATCTTAATACTTTTATATATAGAATAACAAAACAGAAATTATATTATTTTAAAAGTATCATATGAGTCTGTTTAAAAAAATAATTTTTCAATCACTTTAAGATATTGATGTTTCTCGGAAATTGATTTTATTGTTGTTTAACGCTCTTTTCTAGGCGATATATTTCTTGTCTGAAATATTTTTGTTTGCTGAACTTAGTTCTTGGGATATTTGGCTGAACTGTTTAAAATGAGACATGTATTCTTTTTTGCAGATAAGATTCATGTATCTACTATGAAGTTTCAATTTTAAATGAATTCTTCTTTTTTTTTTAATATAACAAATATGAAATATGCTTTTATTATTTGCAAATCTAACTATTGACGCTTCAAGCTAATAATATAAATCGATATTTTTATTATATATTATATATTTATATCGCGTTTTGTGTTTAAAACAAGTTTTTTAAAAATTAAATTATAAATCACTCACAGTGAATAGAGGCTTTGGATTTAAACTGTAGAATAAACGGACTGTATCTTACAATGTACGGTAATATTGAAGCATATTTGCTCTTGTACTTTGAAACTCAATGACTGTGTTTACACACTCCTCAAACACATGTTGCCTTAATCGACGTAAACGATCACGTTACTAGTTGGTAGTTAAACCAAAGACTTTTCACGAATGCCATGCCACGCCATGCCACGCCACGCCACGCCATACCATGCTATTCCATAGTCACACGATACTACACCATGCCATGGCATGTTATGGCATGCTACGAGCGAGATAAATATTAATAGTAATTCTTAATCCGCGCGATAAAAAAAAAGCAGCTTCTTTACACTTTCGTTTACGTCCACTTTGGCATAGCCTGATTATCATACGCTTCGCTTATCGATTACCAAAACGTGAGGTTGTGATATAAAAGTTATATAATAAGGTTATATAATAAAAGTGTTTTCTCTAAACTTGATACAACCGTTTCACGATACAGCCTTCTTATTACGGTACGATTTTTATCGAAGAATAAAAAGTGGACCATATTTTTTATTAAATATACTTACTATAACTCTTTCCGTGTTCTCCACATTTTTTCTTTCCTTGCCTATTGAATCTTTTTGGCCTAGAAGAATCAAAATATTATGCTTTTGACGATTCGAAAATCCAGATTGGTGGGCTTCCTGTGGATTTTGGGAAGATACCTTCCTTGTGTATACATATATTTGTGTATACATAACTTCGCAAATTTGTAAACAATCGTCGGAAGACTTTTAATTAGATATATATATATATATATATATATATACACGATAAGAATCGTATTTTGAACCTGCGATTTGTCGAGTCAGAAATTTTTTTACAAAGTCACGCGCATCACTCCGTTTCCCACGTTCAATTACTACGACTGAAAATTGGTCCGCGTGGAAATCACAACGTTAATAAACAAAATATTTAGCCTGTACATGGAAAAAAAATGCGCTATTCAAAGCGCGATTACAAACAGCCATCTGCCTCCCTCCTGTCCACCCTTCCTCGAGATACTCGCCCCGTTACCCCTCTATAACTACCCTATGTACCCTATCTCCCCCCTTCTTCCGAATCAGCCACTTCTATTAGATACCTCTCTCGGCTCTCGGCAACCATACACACTCGCACAGTCTCGCTTATAGAATTCTTTTCCCTTCCCGCTCCGTGCCGCGCCGTTCCGTGCCGTACCACGCAATCTCTCCGACCAACACGCGCGTAGTAGACACCGTCTTCCCCTATCGTGGCACCCCCACCACCGTCGTCCATTGCAGCGAACTGATATACCCGGAATCACATTGCCGCGCCGACCAGCGCGAGGAGTGTGCGTCGCCTGCCACGCTGTCATTCATCGTTTTCGGAATTACACGTCGCTGTAATACGAGCGCAAACACGTAACGCCGCGTCGTACACGCACTCGCGCCGCGTGTTCTCCGTTTGCCATAACCCTAACTCCTCCCCCCCCACCCCCTCGCCCGCGATCTTTCCTATTTGCTGTCCGTTGCGGAATGGTGAGTGATACGAACTTATTCGCAGAGTGTAGTGATCACGTATACTCATGAAAAGCAAGTGTCAACGGAGGGATTCTAACCTATTACGGATATACGCAAATTGCCAAGTGTGTTGTTTCTCTA